CCAGGTACAAGGTAAAAAATTCCAAACTATCACTCACTGGAATCCTAATACTAAACCTAAGCCTAAGCCTAAGCCCAATCCAACACCAAACTGAACGCAAACCCGGCAAGCCTAAGCCATTACGGGAACCCTAACCGTAATCCACGTAACCCTATCCCTAAACTTAATGGCAACCACAACAAAAACACTAACTCTAAATCTAACCCAACCCGAACCCTAACCCCAACACTACATAAAACTGTAAACCTAACACAATCCTAACGAGAAAAATAACAATAAACCAGAATATTAATCCTAATCCCTAATACTTAAACTAATCCCCCAAAATCTAACAATAAACACAAACCCAACCACAAAACCATCACTAACCGAAACCAGTCCCCAACTGAAAACTATCTCCTAAACCTTCTCTCAACATCAACCTCACCCTTACCCTAAACCAAAGCCTGTAACACTCACACTCACCCTCAAACTAGAACTCACACCTTCAACCTCACACTCACGCTAAAACCAACCACCTGACCATAACCCTACACTAATCTGCACCCAACGCTAAAGATAGACCCATCCACAATGCCAACCCGAACCCTAACCCCTACCTCTAATCCTATACTTAACGCACACAAATCCTAACCCAAAACATAGGCTTAGCCCATAACCCTAACACTGACCGTAACGCTCTAACCCTCACCCTCACCCTAACGCTAAACCCTAACCCTAACCCCAACCCCAAACTCAACCCCAACCCTAACCCTAACCCAACCCTAAGCCTAACCATAACCCTGACCCTACCCCTAACCCTATCTTGACTACACTCTACTGCTTGTGGAGTGGTTACCAATGCATTCCACATGCCATCACTCTGCCAGCTATGTAGCAGTTCTCTGAGGACTGGTCAGCCAATAGTGCTCTTGCCCTGGTCCTGCATGTCACCTGGTGGATGATTTTAGGATTGCTATGTGTCGAAACATGCTTGCTTCATGGAACAGTCACACAGAGGTCTGGCGAGTATTGCTAAGCATGCAACAAGACTGCTCTCATTGCAGCTTATAGGCAGGGCTCCCTTGAGGACCATTTGGACACACAGTCAGCACATCCTTGCCCCTGCCTGCTCCTACTGAACAAAGGAGCAGTATCTAGGACCTGAATAACAAGGCCCTTCCCCTAGAAATCAAATACCAGAAGGTTTGAGCCACAATTAAAGACACTGAGAGCCTAAATTCAATGTTAGCTGCCTCCCAAAGAATGACTAGGACCCCTTAACAGCTGGGACAGTCTTCACTCATACCTTTCTGCAGGTCACAAACTTTGGGAACTAGTTAGCTGCACAGTGACCCAGCCCTCATGGCTGTCTCCTAAAGGGATATGATTACAGAATATTTTGCAAAGCAGTGAGACTGTCCTCAAGCTGGCAGAGAAGCAGCAGGCTTGAGAAGGCCAGTCAGACACACCACAAGCCCATGCAGACCAGAATTTAGTACAGTGCAACATTTCAGACTGTTTAGGCATTCAGGGATCAGCAACTCAATGAAGCAAGCATACAGAGGACTGGAGAGTCATTGTACAATATGCAGTGAGACTGAACTTGCTGCAGCCATGAGCCAATGCCACTATGTGAATTGGTGAGCCATGCACTGAGAATACTCTCTCCCCAGGATCAAACAGGTGAAACATTGGGTTCTATGTAGAATTACAGACATATCAGAATCGTAACGAATTGAAGGAGGAAAAACAAGAGGAGTTCTGAGTCACAGTGTGAAACTGGGAGGCCCCTGGACTTCAAGCACTGGACAGTTGAGGTACATTTTGCAACTAAGTGAAATGCGCTCATACAACTGGCATGCACTGAAATAATGAGTACCTTTTCGATGCATTGTGAGAACCACCTGGAGGCATCGTCCTTCCAGTGAAACTTTGAGCTGCAGACTAGCACAAAGTCATTTCGCTCAAATCCCAGGCTACATGAAGCCGAATCTTTAGGAACAAATATACATGCAGAGTGTTCATGCTCTCCACAGCATGCATACAGCTGTCTGAAAAGGAATGGTTATCGAGTCAGTGAGAAAACCTCACTTGGGAGAGAACCCTGTTGAAAAATGAGCAGGGCATTGCCATGCATTGATACCACCAGAAACAGAGTTTGCAAAAGGCCCCCAAGTGAACAATGGATTGCCAAGCTCTCAGCCTGCATTCTGACTATTCACCTCCTGCAAAAGGCCTAGCATGGATTAGCAGCACAGAGAGCCCTCAGTCATAGTATTTTACATGAAGCCCAACATCCTCCATTTAGCCAGCTGAAGGATGATCACCAGATCATTAAGGGTTGCCTGCAGCAGACCATTTAGGTTCAATCGGTCTCTCAGTGTGTTTAAACTAATCCAAACCTGATGTCAACCATGCAAAAAGGAATGGATCACGAGTCAGTCAGCACGCCATCACTTCAGAGTAAAAGCTGTTTAGAAATGAGCGTGGCCTAGTCATGAAGTCAGCCCGAGTTGCCAAAGATAGCAGATAGTACAATCAAATGCTGTGGAGAGAGATGCAGTGAGCCTGCATTCCAACGGCTTTGTCTCAGACAGACTACTGAGGCACTTTCAGCAGCACAGAGATACCTCACTCCAACTGTGCGGCATTTGCCTGAACTTCAGTGCATCATTAGGCCCATGCTGAAACTGCCCTGCCTAGTTTGACTCCAGCGCACTGCTTATGGACTTTTCAGCAATGCAGTCCACATGTCCTCACACTACCAGCTATGCAGCAGTCCATTCAGGACTGGCCAGTCCACAGTGCTCTGGCCCTGGTCCTGCGAGCCACATGTTGGACACTTTAAGGATCCTTAGGCATGCAAACATGCTTGCATCATGGTGCAGTCAGGCATAGAGAGGTCTGGCGAGTAGAGGGAAGCACACAGCAAGTCTTTGCTTGGTGCAGCTTGTAAGCAAGGTTCCCATCAGAACCATTTGGCCACACAGTGAGCACACTCTTGTCGCTGCCTGCCCCTTGTGAGCAAAGGATCAGAGTCGAGAACCTGAATAAGAAGGCCCTTCCCCCAGATATCCAATGGCAGAAGGTTTGAGCGACCAGTGAAGGTGCAAGGAGCATGCATTCAAACTTTGCTGCCGCTTACAGAACAACTAGGTACCCTTCACAGCTGGGAGAGCCATCATGTATACCTTTCTACATATCCCAAACTTTGGTGACTAGTCAACTGCACAGGGAGCTAGCCCTCACTTGCTGTCTCCTCCAGGGATATGTTTATGGAATCTTTAGCTGTGCAGTGAGACTATGCTCAACCCGACAGGAAAGCAGCATGCTTCAGAAGGCCAGTGAGAGAGACCACAAGCTCACGCAGACCTGACTTTCATAGAGTGAAACATTTAGGACATTTTAGGCATTCAGGGAACACGCACAACGAGAAATGATCATACAGAGGTCTGGAGAGTCATTGGACAACATTCAGTGAGCCAGAAGCTGCTCGCAGCCATGAGCCAGGGCCACGACGTGAATGGATAAGCCATGCAGTGAGCCTGCCCTCCTCCTGGAATTAAACAGGTGAATGCCTTGTGTTCAACCTAGCATTGCAGACACGTTAGAGTAATAACGCATTGAAAGTGGGAGACACGTTAGAGTCATAAGGCACTGAAAGCTGCTAGACACAGTGCAAGCTGACCAGGCCCCTGGACTTCAAGCACTCCACAGGTGAGGTACTGCTTTCAACTAACAGACCTGCACTCATATGGTGCTCATGCATTGAAAACTTTCCTACCTGTTCGTCACATGGTAAGAACCCCGTGGCGTCGTCCTCCCTGCAGTGCAAAGTGGAGGTGCAGACGGGTGGGAAGTGAATTCACTGTCATCCCAGGCTCCAAACAGGAGACTGTTCAGGAACAGCTACTCACACAGAGTGCTCCTGCTCTCCAGAGCATGCATACAGCCACCTGAAAAGGAAGGGTTATGGAATCAGTGAGAAAACCTCCCATGGGAGAAATTCCCTTTGAAAAATGAGCACGGCATGGCCATGCATTGATACCACCAAAGACGCAACATTGCTCAAGGCCCCCAATGGAACAATGGATGGCCAAGCACTCAGCTTGCATTCCCACTAGCTGCCTCCCTCAAAGGCCTACCATGGATTGGCCACCCAGAGGGCCCTCACTCCTATCGTTGTGCATGAGGCACAACCGGCTCTGTCCAATCAGCCAAATGATGAGCACAAGATCATCCAGGCTTGCCTCTAGCAGGCCCTTTAGGTCCCCTGGGGCCCACAGTGTGCTCACACTCACCTCAGCCTGAGGCCAACCATCTGACAAGGAATGCTTCATGAGTCAGTCAGCCTGCCGTCACTTCAGCCTGCAACCTGTGGAGAAAGGAGCAGGGCCTAGCCCTGCAGCCATCTTGAATTGCCAAAGATGGCAGACAGCACACCCCAATACAGTGGAGAGCCATACAGTGAGCCTCCATTCCCATAGTTTTGACTCAGACAGACCACTGAGGCCCTTTCAATAGCCCACACAGAGCCCTCACTCCTACTGTGCGGCATTCACCTGATCTTCAGTGCATTTTTAGGCACATGCTGAAACTGCCCTGTCTAGCTTGCCTCAAGTGGAATGCTGATGGAGTGCTTAGCAATGCAGTCCACTTCTCCTCACACTGCCAGCTATGCATCAGTCCTCTGAGGGCTGGCCAGCCCACAGTGCTTTGGCCCTGGTCCTGTACACCACCTGGTGGACGCTTTCAGGATCGGTAGTCATGGAAACATGCTTGCCTCATGGAAGAGATAGTCATACAGAGGCCTGGTGAATCACAGAAAGCACGCAGCAATTCTGCCCTCAGTGCAGCTTCTAGGTATGGAACTCACGAGGACCATTTGGCCACAAAGTAAGCACACCCTTGTCCCTGTTGGCACCTCAGAACAAAGCTGCAGGGCCTAGTACATGAATAAGAAGTTCCTTCCACTAGACATCCAATGGCAGAAGGTTCAAATGGCCAATCAAGGTGCAGTGAGCCTGCATTCAATCTTCGCTGCCTCCCACAGAATAACAAGGACTCCTTCACAGCTGGGAGAGCCACCACTCATACCTTTCTGCATGTCCCAAAATTTAGGGACTAGTGAGCTGCACAGGGAGCTGGCCCTCCCTTGCTCTGTCCTCCAGGGATATGCTTATGGAATATTTTGCCCTGCAGTGATACAGTCCTCAAGCCAACAGGAAAGCAGCATGCCTGAGAAGGCCAGTCACACACACCATGGTGTTCACGCAGACCTGACTTTCGTACAGTGAAACATTTCAGACTGCTTTGGCATTCAGGGAACATGGATGTCACCAAATGATCATTCAGAGGTCTGCAGAGTCATTGCACAACAGGCAGAGAGACTGAAGATGCCTGGATGATAGGTCAGGGCCACGCTGTGAATCGGGAAGCCATGCTTTGAGCCTGTCCTCCTCCTGGAATCAAATAGGTGAAGCCTTGGTTTCAACCTAGCATTGCAGACACGTTAGCGTCATCACACATTGAAATCTGGAGAACCTTTTGGAGCTCCTAGACACTGTGTGTACCAGCCAGACCCCTGAACTTCAATCACTCCACAGGTGAGGTACAGTTTGCAACAAAGAGACCTGCACTCATACAGCGGGCATGCAGTGAAACCTTTCATACCTATTCGACGCATGATGAGAACACTGTGGCATCGTCCTGCTTGCAGTGCAACTTGGAGTTGCAGACTGGAGTGAAATGAGTTCACTCTCATCCCTGGTTCCACCCAGGAGACTGTGCAGGAACAGTTACTCATGCAGAGTGCTTCTGCTCTAAACAGCATGCAGACAGCCACCTGAATAGGAAGGGTTATCGAATCAGTTAGAAAACCTCCCTTGGGAGAGAACTCTGCTGAAAAATGAGCAGCGCATGACCATGCATCGATACCACCAGCAACACAGCATGCTCAAAGCCCCCAGTGGAACAATGGATGGCCAAGCTGTGAGCCTTTATTTCCACTGGCTACCTCACGCCAAAGGTCTAGCATGGATTGGCCACCCAGAGGGCTCTCACTCCTATCATTGTGCATGAAGCACAACTGGCTCCATCTAGCCAGCCAAATGATGAGCAGCATATCATCCAGGCTAGCCTCCCACAGGCGGTTCACTTCCCTGGGGCCCGCAGTGCGCTCACACTAACCTCAGCCTGAGGCCAACCATCTGACAAGGAATGCTTCATGAGTCAGCCAGCCTGCTGTCACTTCAAACTACAATCTGTGGAGAACGGAGCAGGGCCTAGCCATGCAGTCAGCCCGAGTTGCCAAAGATAGCAGATAGTACACCCAAATACAGTGGAGAGCCATGCAGGGAGCCTGCATTCCCAACATTTTGATTCAGACAGACCACTGAGTCCCTTTCAACAGCACAGAGATCCCTCACTCCAACTGTGCAGCATTCACCTGATCTTCAGCGCATCTTTAGCCCCATGCTGAAACTGCCCTGCCTAGGTAGATTCCAGAGGACTGCTTTTGGACTGCTTAGCAATGCAGTCCACATGTGCTCACACTGCCAGCTCTGCAGCACTCCTCTCAGGACTGGCCAGCCCACAGTGGTCTGGCCCTGGTCCTACGAGCCACCTGGTGGATGCTTTAAGGATCCTTAGGCATGCAAACATGTTTGTGTCACAGTACAGTCAGTCATACAGAGGTCTGCTGAGTAGCGGTAAGCATGCAGCAAGTCTGCCCTTGGTGCATCTTGTAGGCAGGGCTCCCATGAGAACCATTTGGCCACACAGTGAGCACATTCTTATCCCTGCCTGCCCCTCGTGAACAAAGGCGCAGAGTCTAGGACCTGAATAAGAAGGCCCTTCCCCTAGACATCCAATGGCAGAAGGTTAGAGCAGCCAATGAAGGCACAGTTAGCCTGCCTTCCAACTTCGCTGCCAACTAGAGAACAACTAGGACCCCTTCACAGCTGGAAGAGCCATCACTCATATGAGCACATTCTTATCCCTGCCTGCCCCTCGTGAACAAAGGCGCAGAGTCTAGGACCTGAATAAGAAGGCCCTTCCCCTAGACATCCAATGGCAGAAGGTTAGAGCAGCCAATGAAGGCACAGTTAGCCTGCCTTCCAACTTCGCTGCCAACTAGAGAACAACTAGGACCCCTTCACAGCTGGAAGAGCCATCACTCATACCTTTCTGCATATCCCCCACTTTGGGTACTAGTCAGCTGCACAGGGAGCCAGCCCTTACTTGCTGTCTCATCCAGGGATATGCTTATGGAATATTTGGCCATGCAGTGAGACTGTCCTCAAACTGACAGGAAAGCAGCATGCTTGATAAGGCCAGTCAGACACACCATGAGCTCACGCAGACCTGACTTTCATGCAGTGGAACATTTTGAACTGTTTTGGCATTCAGAGAACCCACACACTGCGAATCGATCATACAGAGGTCTGGAGAGTAATTGTACAACAGGCACTTAGCCTGAAGCTGACTGCAGCCATGAGCCAGGGCCACTCTGTGAATGGTTAAGCCATGCATTGAGCCTGTCCTCCTCCTGGAATCAAAAGATGAAGCCTTGGGTTCGACCTAGCATTGCAGACAGATTACAGTCATAATGCATTGAAAGCGGGAGAAACTTTAGGAGCTCCTAGACACAGGGTGAGAAGGCCAGACACTTGGACTTCTATCACAACACAGGTGAGGTACTGTTTTCAACTAAGAGACCTGCACTAATATGGTGGTCATGCAGTGAAACCTTTCCTACCTGTTCAATGCATGGTGAGAACCCTGATATGTCATCCTCCTTGCAGTGCAACTCGGAGTTGCAGACTGGAGTGAAGTGAGTTCACTCTCATCCCAGGCTCCGACCAGAAGAATGTCTAGGAACCATTACTCACACACAGTGCTCCTGCTCTCCAGAGCAGGCATAGAGCCACCTGAAAAGAAAGGGTTATGGAATCAGTGAAAAAACCTCCCATGGGAGAAATTCCCATTGAAAAATGAGCAGGGCTTGGCCATGCATTGACATCACCAGCAACGCAGCATGCTCAGGGCCCCAAATGGAACAATGGATGGCCAAGCACTCAGCCTTCATTCCCCCTAGTTGCCTCCCTCAAAGGCGTACCATGGATTGCTGCCCAGAGGGCCCTCGCTCCTATCATTGTACATGAAGTACAACCGGCTCCATCCACCCAGCCAAATGACGAGCACAAGATCATCATGGCTTGCCATCTCCAGGCCCTTTAGGTTCCCTGGGGACTGCAGTGTGTGCACACTAACCCCAGCCTGATGCCAAGCATTGGACAAGCAATGCTTCATGAATCAGTCAGCCTGCCGTCCCTTCAGATTATAACTGGTGGGGAAATAAGCAGGGCCTAGCTATGCAGTCCACCAAACTTGCCACAGATAGCAAATAGCACACCAAGATCCAGGAGAGAATCTTGGAGTGAGCCTGAATACTTCCTCTTTTGACTCGCATAGAACACTGAGAACCTGTGAAGAGCACTGTGGGCCCTCACTGCTACTCTGCAGCATTTGCCTGATCCTCAATCCCTCTTTAGGTGTAGGCTGAACCAGCCCTGCCTGGTTTGACTTAAGTAGACTGCCCCAGGTGTGCATAGCAATGCCGTCCAAATATCACCCCTCTGCCAGCTATGCAGGAAGCAGTCTTCTGAGGACATGTAGGCCAACTGTGCTCTTGCCCTCATCCTAGGCACCAATTTGTGGATGTTTTAAGGATCGTTGGCATGGAAATACGCTGGCCTCAAGGACAAGTCACACGGAGGTCGGTGGAGTAGTGGTCAGCATGCAGCAAGTCTATCCCCTACATGAAGCTGCTGCTCATGGCTACCATGAGGACCAATGGGATAAACACTAAACGCACCCTCATCCCTACCTGACCCTGGTAAACACAGGGCCAGGGCCTAAGAAGTAAATAAGAAGGCCCTTGGCCTAGACATCTAATGACAGAAGGTTGGAGTGGCCAATCAAGCCACAGTGAGCCTGCATCCCATCTTAGCTGCCTCACAAAGAATGAATAGAACCCCTTAACAGCTGCGAGAGTCATGACTCATAACTTTCTGCATGTCATAAACTTTGGGCACTACTTAGCTTGCAAGTGAGACAACCCTCATGGCTGTGTGTTCCATGGATATAGTGATGGTCTATTGCCCACAGCAGGGAGACTGTCCTCAAGCCAGAGGAAAAGCATCCTTCTTGAGAAGGCCAGTCAGACACAGCCCAAGTTCACACAGGTGTGAATTACATACATAAAAATTCCCAACTAGTTCTGCATTCAGGGCACACCCATGCCCAGAAACAATACTGCAGAGGTCTGGAGAGTCATGGAATAATACACACTGAGCCGGAAATTGGCACAGCCATGAGCCAGGGCCATGAAGGAAATTGGAGAGCCTTGCATTGAACCTCCCCTCCTCCCTGAATCAAAGATTTGAAGCATTGGGTTCTACCTAGTATGGCCGACATGTCCCACTCCTAACGAAATGCAGGCCTGAGCAACTTGAGGAGCTCCTCGTCACAGTGTGAAAGTGCCAGGCCCCTGGATTTCGAGCACAGGACAGTTGAGGTACATTTTGCCTCTACGAAACCTGCACTCACTGGCTGGCATCGAATGTAACATTCAGTTCCTCTTGGACGCATTGTGAGAACCACCTGGCGTCGTTCTCCTTGCAGAGCCAAGTTGAGCTGCTGGCTAGCATGATGTGAGGTCACGGTCAGGCTATGCTCCATCGGGGAGAATCTGTACTAACAATGGTCAGGACGGGCACTCCTGCTCTCCACAGCGTGCATACATCCCTCTGAAAAGGAACGGCTACAGAATCAGAGAGAAAACATCGCTCGGGACAGAACCCAGGTGAAAAGTGAGCAGGGCATTGCCATTCCTTGAGATCCCCAGGGACTCAGTAGGCAAAGGGCCTCCAGGTGACCCACAGCCCTCTGATATCTCAGTCTGCCTTCACCCTCCCTGCCTCCCTCAAAAGCCCTAGCATGGTTGTGGAGCTCATGGGGCCCTTGCTCAAACCATTGTGCGTGAATTACTACACTCTCTAGCCAGCCAGCTAAGAGATGAGCTGCTGGACATGCCTCCTACCGACCTTTTTGGTTTCACTGATGCTGCCATGGGCTCAAAAGCACCCCACCTGAGGCCATCCACCCAAAATGGAATGGTTCATGAGTTCATCAGCCTGCCGTCCCTTCAGATTACAACTGGTGGGGAAATGAGCAGGGCCTAGCCATGCAGTCCTCCCACCTTGCCACAGATAGCAAATAGCACACCGAGGTCCATGAGAGAGTCTTGGAGTGAGCCTGAATCCCCCCTATTTTGACTCGCATAGAACACTGAGAACCTGTGAAGAGCACTGTGAGCCCTCACTCCTTCTGTGCAGCATTCGCCTGACCTTCAGTCCATCTTTAGGCCCAGACTGAACCTGCTCTGCCTAGTTTGACTTAAGTAGAGTGCTCCAGCTGTGGTTAGCAATGCCGTCCAAATGTCATCCCTCTGCCAGCTATGCAGTAAGCAGTCTTTTGAGGACTTGTAGGCCAAGTGTGTTGTTGCCCTGGTCCTAGGCACTACCTTGTGGATGTTTTAAGTGTTTTTGTCATGGAAAAACGCAGTCCTCAAGGACAAGTCACACAGAGGTCTGTCGCATAGTGGTCACCACACAATAAAACTGTACCCTCCATGTAGCTGCTGGTCAGGGCTACCATGAGCAGTAAGCAGTCTTTTGAGGACTTGTAGGCCAAGTGTGTTGTTGCCCTGGTCCTAGGCACTACCTTGTGGATGTTTTAAGTGTTTTTGTCATGGAAAAACGCAGTCCTCAAGGACAAGTCACACAGAGGTCTGTCGCATAGTGGTCACCACACAATAAAACTGTACCCTCCATGTAGCTGCTGGTCAGGGCTACCATGAGCATCACTGGGATACACACAG